AAATCTGGAAAGTTTCAAATTATATCAGAAGTCAATCCTTCTTTTCTAGGATTGCAATATCCGTTACTTTTTTTGCATGGTCAAGATGGATTCAGAGAGGATGTTAACCTGATATGTGCAACTCAAGCGACCACAAGAGGCATAAAACATGTTACAATGAAGGAGTTCTTCTCATACAGATTGCAAGAAAGGAATAACGAGTCCCCTTATATATTGAGATCAAAGAGATTATTCCAACAATTTATTGTTGACGGATATACCATGATTGAGTCATGTCATTTGGCATATATCAGAAGGACTTGTGAAGTGAACTCTATACAGGATTGGTTGATGATGTTGGTCGTGGTGAAACTGATGGATCAAGGTTAGGATAACTCATTGTACTTTTTTAAGAGAATTTTATTGAAAAAGGATAACTCATTGTACTTCCTAACTCAATTACCGGCAGTGCACGTTACATGATTCAAAACTACCAGGTCGCAATGTGCATTTGCAGGTGGGCGGGATACCCACAACTCTTCATCACGTTCACATGCAACCCACAGTGGACTGAGATCATTCTCTACGTTGAGTGTAGAGGAGTCACTCTTGATGATCATCCAGATATCATTTGTAGAATCTTCAAGATAAAGCTTGAAATGCTCATAAAAGACCTGAAAGAAAATAAACTATTCGGTGAAGTTAAAGCAGGTATGAGTTGATTTTATGATTAGTTTGTGTAACTTTATTTAATTACATTATTGTAAATATTTTTCTCTAAGCTCAATACCTATATATATTTCCATTTGATGGTAAACTAATACATGGATTATTCATCAATTTTATACTATGGAGTTGTATACACGGTGGAGTTTCATAAACGTGGATTGCCACATACCCATATTGTTTTATGGTTGCTACAAAGGGACACAGCTATATTGGCATCACACATCGACAACATTATTTAAGCTGAGATTCCAGATGAGAAATGTGATCATGATTATTATGTTGCTGTCAAAGAGTTAATGGTGCACGAGCCTTGTGGGCATATGAACACATCTTTGCCGTGGATGGATAATGGTCGCTGCATAAAACACTTTTCAAAGAAATTTGTGAACCGTACTACAATTGATGGAAATGGATTTCCTATTTACGCAAGAAGAGACCATGGAAGGAGTGTATTGAAGAATGGGAATCCCTTTGACAATATATTTGTCATCCCTCATAGCCATGCATTATTTCTCAAGTACGGGGCTCACATTAATGTTGAGTGGTGTAACCAAACTTGGGCAGTGAAATACCTCTTCACGTACATCAATAAGGGAAAAGATCGAATTACAGTTGCATTCTCCGAGGCATCCAACAATCGTACGCCAGAAAAGGTGATGAGATTAAAATGTATTATGATTGTCGGTGTATCTCTGCATGTGAAGCGGCTTGGAGAATATTTGGATTCCACATTCATTACAGGGACGTCGTGGTTGAACGTCTAAGCTTTCATCTCCCGGGCCAACATGGTGTGTACTACAATCCTGAACAATTTGTCACTTCCGTGCTTATACGTCCTACTATCCACGCTACTAATTAAGTTTCTAGCTTGGATGCATGCAAAAAATGTGTATCCTCAAGCTAGGAGCTTAATTTATGCTGAATTTCCTACAAAGTTCACCTGGAAAAACAATACAAGAGAGTGGATACCGCGACAAAGAGGCACCGCAAATGGAAGACTATATTTCATGCGCCTAGGAGCAGGGGAGAAATATTATTTGAAAATGCTCCTTGGTGTCGTGAAGGGGGAAAGGAGTTTTGAAGAACTGATGGAGTCATACACTCGACGTTCAGAGAAGCTTGCTCTGCCCATAATATGTTAAATGACGATAAAGACTATATAGATGGACTTATAGGACAAAGCCATTGGGCAACAATGATGAACTTCGCATGCTTGCATGGGAAGCATAGATAATGAACAAAGTCATTGTTCATCTTTTACTACAAGAGTCATTATCTATGTAACACTTGAGATTTAATTTAAACGGATTAATAGTACTACTCATACCAACAGAGGTGCATGTCCTTTTAAGGAAACTCATCACCCAAGAACTTCAAAGTTAAGCATGCTTGCATGGGAGTGGGATGGGTGACCGCATGGGAAGTTTCCCAGGGCGCGCATGAGTGAGGACAAAGTGCGTAGTAAAGGCTCGTAGTGGTTTGTGGGGACAGTACTAGAGGTCTGAAGTAACTACCTCGGGTTCTGCGGGGCCGAAGTGTTACATGTGGTATCAGAGCAACCCTGCGACCGTGTGCTGACCCGTTGGATATCGGGCGGACACTTAACGAGGGAAGATTCTAGGATATAATTGAGATTGAATTGGCTTATGGACGCAACGAGGACATTGCGATCCTAAGTGGGGTGATTATAACTATTGAGATTTAATTTAAATGGATTAATAGTACTACTCATACCAACAAGATGCATCTTCTTTTAAGGGAGCTCATCACTCAAGAACTCGAAGTTAAGCGTGTTTGCACGAGAGTAGTCTTGGGATGGGTGACCCCCTGGGAAGTTTCTCAGGGCACGCATGAGTGAGGACAAAGTGCGCGGTAAAGGCTTGTGGTGGTTTGTGAGGACAGTACTAGAGGTCCCGAGTAACTACCTCGGGGCCTGCGGGGCCAGGTGTTACAATCTATGCCCGGTATGGCTTGGGAGAAGTGTTGGTCCTATCTATCCGATGATATAGTCTACACTATTAGGAAGAATCTCAATGATCAAGGTATGTTTATTATTTAATGACATTTCTTAAATTTAGATAAATTTAATAAATGACAATATTAAGAGTGATGTAGATGTACAATAAGCAAGATATTTTGAAATTAAAAATTACCTTTTCATATATATTATGTTTAAAGATCATTATTCTTTAATATCAAATATTTGAAACTTTTTTGTTGTAACAAATTGCATATGTCAGGGTAAAATTTACTCTTATGTCATAGATAATTTTTAAATATGAAGGACTTTTTTTTAAAAAAGTGTTTATAAACGGTTATATATATAATTTAATAAACTATTTTTTTAGATAGCAGTTGGTTTAATAATTTGTTTCTACAACATCACATTTATAGATGTGTTGATTGTTTATAATACAGACAAATTCAATTATTTAACCATATAGAAATTTAAAAAATATTCTAATTGCTTCTTAATTTCATTAATATTAAAATTGCACTAACCGTTTTTTTTACAGAACTGCAGCTGGATGAGAAGCAAATAAAGAATTATTGTTTGTTGGAAGTTGAAAAACTTCTACAATATCGTGGAAATCTCTATTCTACTATGACGAAATGCCTCGAGTAACGGATCTTGACATTGCCTCTCTTGATGATGTTTTGATACACGAGAAATTGAGATATGACAGACATGCTTTGGCGGAGGAACATGCTAGATTAATTTCCGCCTTGACAGAGGATCAAAAGTATGTTTACGAGACAATAGTGAATTCTGTAGAGGCCAACCATGGCGATGTGTTTTTCTTATATGGGCACGGTGGTACAGGGAAAATATATTTGTGGAAGACCTTATCGGCATATATAAGACATAAAGGAAATATTGTGTTGAACGTAGCTTCAAGTGAGATCGCATCATTGCTACTTCCAGGTGGAGGAACGACACATCCAGGTCCGTTTTTTAGTTTTTAAATCTTATCATTCTAAATAAATACTAACACAATGAATAGTAACTTCTAGGTTTAAAATCTCACTCACGGCAGCGGAAGATTCAACTTGCAACATAAAGCTAGGAAGTGCGCTTGCGAAGCTAATTCAAATGACCAAATTGATAATTTGGGATGAGACACCCATGACTAATAAGTACGGCTATGAAGCTCTTGATCAGACTATGCGGGATATTCTTCGACATTCATACGGTTGTGATGGGAGCAAACCTTTTAGTGCAAAGACAATTGTCTTTGGCAGAGACTTTAGGCAGATTTTACCGGTAATTCCAAAGGGTAGCAGACAAGATATTGTGCAAATGACTTTACTCTCACCCTTCATTTGGCCGTTTTGCAAGGTATTCAGGCTATCGAAGAACATGAGAGTGCGAAGTGGATCATGCGATCTTAATTCTGCATACATATTTCAGCTCCGATTCTGCATCATTATCTGATTCTGATTGTAGTTTGTTGCAAGAGATCCATTCTTCGGAATTCCTTAATGGAATCAAATGTTTCGGAGTGCCTAGCCACAAGCTCAAATAAAAAGTGGGTGCCCCTGTGATGCTTATGAGGAATCTTGATCAATCACTGGGTTTGTGTAATGGCACGCGACTTTTAGTGACTCGATTCGAACTGCCATTCACCTTCCAGCGTAGGCAATTCCCTCTGATGGTTAGTTATGCGATGACTATAAATAAGAGTCAGGGCCAGTCATTGGAAAATGTGGGGATATTCTTACAATTCCCTCTGATGGTTAGTTATGCGATGACTATAAATAAGAGTCAGGGCCAGTCATTGGAAAATGTGGGGATATTCTTACGACGATCGGTTTTCACCCATGTGCAGCTTTACGTTGCTGTATCAAGAGTCACGAGTCCAGTTGGTTTGAAGTTTTTGATATGTGACAATATTGGTAGACCGACAAACTCCACACTAAATGTTGTATACAAAGAGATCTTTACCAATTTGTAATATTACATTTTATTTTGAATAAATTTGGGGAAATTTAAATTTTAATTCACATCGAAAGACAATATTATGCGCTCATTTAGAAAAAGAATTGAATTATTGTCAAAATAACTAACTTTTCTCACGTGTTAAATAACTAGTCTTATTATTAAGTGCATTGTGATTTTTTTATAATGTAAGTTCTTTTTACACTATTTTCAAATCAACATTAATTTTTCTCTAATCTTTTGTATTAAAAGAATAATTTTGAAATCTTTTGTATTAAAAGAATAATTTTGAAATAAGACTTAAAAAACTGTAGAACCAGAACGAAATTGAATCGAACCCGGTTACTGTATAGTTTTGCTGAACCGGGCACAGGTGAATTAACAGTCAATTGCACATCCAGCTGACTCGTCCTAATTCCTCCATAGCCATGCCATTCTCTCTTTATCAGGAGAGGATCTGCACCGGAGACATGTAGCAGCTGATACTTCATCACGGCAATCAAATATCTTCCGGCAGTTATGAGTGTAGGATCGGCGCCGCCGCCTTCTCCATCCGGTGGTGCAGGTGGCGGATTGAGAAGCCACCAGCAAGACGCCGAATTGCTCTTTCGCACGAAGCCTATTGCCGAAATCCGGAATGTGGAGATCGCCACGAGGAGGCAGATCCAGGACAAGAGCGAAGAGCTCCGGCAGCTCGTCGGTAACCGCTACCGCGATCTTATTGATTCCGCCGACTCGATAGTGTTGATGAAAGCCTCGTGTGAGTCCATATCCGCAAACATATCCGCTATATACGACGGCATTCTGCACTCGCTCTCCTCTGCTACGGCGTCCAATTCACCGAAGTCAGTTGACCATACAAAGGCTCGAATTTACGGCATTGCTTGTCGAGTCAAGTACCTGGTGGACACACCGGAGAACATCTGGGGCTGCCTCGACGAATCCATGTTTCTTGAGTCATCTGCTCGATACATTCGAGCGAAGCTTGTTCACAGTAGCTTGACTACTAACAAGGAGAACAAGAATGTCCTGTCAACTTTCCCTCTGCTTCAACACCAATGGCAAATGGTGGAGACTTTCAAGGCTCAGATCTCGCAGAGGAGTTGTGATAGGTTATTGGATCTAACCATTGAACTCGGCATTGAGGCCTATGGTGATGCTCTGGCTGCAGTAGCTGTAATCGACGACCTTGATCCCAAGCAGGTTCTTACATTATTTCTTGAAAGGCGCAAATTGTGTATCTCTCAAAAGCTAGCGGGCTGTTGTTCAAATGTTAATGCCACTACTTCTGATGTGATTTTGGTTTACTGCCAAGCGATAAAGGTAATCCAAGTTACTATAGGACAAGTAGGGGAGTTATTCTTGCAAGTGCTGAATGATTTGCCTTTATTTTATAAAATGATACTAGGATCACCTCCTGCTTCCCAGTTCTTTGGAGGGATACCGAACCCTGATGAGGAAGTGAGGTTATGGAACTTATCTAGGTCTGAGTTGGAGTTGAAGATGGTACTGTTGGATAAGGATTATATTTCAGCAGTGTGTTCTGACTGGTTGAGAAACTGTGGTAAAGAGATCATGAACATGGTAAACAATAGGCACTTGATTGACGTTATTGGTAGTGGGCAAGATCTTGCTGTGGCTGAAAAATTGATACGAGAGACTATGGATAGTAAACTGGTTTTAGAAGGGAGTCTGGAGTGGCTTAAGAGTGTTTTTGGCTCTGAAATTGAGCTTCCTTGGAAAAGAACACATGAGCTTGTGCTGGGTGGTGAGTCTGATCTTTGGGATGAAATATTTGAAGAAGCATTTGTGCAGAGAATGAAATCAATTATTGAAAAAGGATTTGATGACTTGAGCAGAGTTGTTAATGTAATTGAGTCGGTTCGGTCAATCGCGGGAACTCCAGGAGATCAGATCAATTTTCAAGCTTACTTGAATAGATCACCAGATAGTGGTGGGGTATGGTTCATTGATCCAAATGTCAAAAGGGTCAGCTCCCTTCATGCGTCTAAACCATTACAGGCAGATGAAAATGGTTTTCATAACAGCCTCAATGCTTACTTTGGAGCTGAAGTTAGCCGCATCAGAGATGCAGTTGACAGCTGCTGTGAAGCTGTACTTAAAGACCTCTTGAGCTTCCTGGAGTCGCCAAATGCTTCCTTGAGGCTGAAGGATCTTGCACCATATTTACAGAGTAAATGCTATGAGAGCATGTCAACGATATTAGTGGAGCTCAAGAATGAGTTAGATCTACTGAATACTAACATGGATAATAAGAATCACTTCAAAAATGAGTTGGTGCCCCCACCCGCTGTACTTGTAGAGAGATCTGTATTTATTGGGCGCCTATTGTTTGCATTTCAGAAACACTCTAAGCATATACCTTTGGTACTTGGATCACCAAGATCATGGGCTGATGATTCTACATTTGCTGCCTCCTTTAAACCGGTGGTTGTAATGAGGAGTTCAATGGCAGCTCTCGAGTCCATGGCCAATGATCCTGGATCAAGAAGACATGGCTCATTGGCAACTTCTGCTTTGTTTGGAGTTGATGATAGCTCAAGCCCACAACTTCAAGAGTTAAATAAAACAACTCATGACCTTTACATCAAAGCTCATAACATATGGGTTTCATGGGTTTCTGGTGAACTTGCAATTATCTTATCACATAATCTCAAACAGGATAATTCCCTGTCAACAAGTGCACCCTTAAGAGTAAGTGTCATGCTTTACCACACATCATTGAAGTTGGGTGGCCTCCTTTAATATATCAGTCCTCTTTTACGAGGACTTATTAGCATGATTACAAAATATAGTAGCCTTAGTTGTGTCTTTGTTAGCATGAGATTGCATCTGCTGGTTATGTGGCGTCCATGAGAATGATGATTTATTTTACTTATCATGTTTGTTGTCCAGCCATTGTCTCAAGTCCCCCTCGTACCTCTGTTCTGACTGACTGACTTAGAAGGAGTTTCGAAATGCCTGTATAATGGTGTGGCCCTGACACACAGGCATATGGATGTATGTAGTAGCTATAAATAAAGATGAAATCCAACCACTGGCATTGTGTAGCTTCCAGAGTTTATACATGTAGTCATGTATTGTCTCATTTGTCAACTTTATAGATGTTTTAGCCCTTTTTATCATTGTATTGATTTTCCCCTAACATACATGTTTACATACTTAAATGGCAAAATGTACCTCAGTATCTCTAAAGAGATTGTTTCTATCTGCTACTACTGGAAATGCCGCTTGATGAAGAGTGGGGTGTTTGAGGTGTAAAAAAAAATCTCTAAAGAGATTGTTTTCTTAGTGTAGTATAAAAAGGGTTTCGCAAAACAAGATCCCATTTTCTTCTCTTGGGATGTGGGATTGTGGGGGTTTGAATATCAATCTTTGATTTTAATATATACAGATGTCTGTGGTTGTCTGTATTGGATTCTCACACTCGCTGTTTTTCAGGGATGGGAGGACACTTTGGTTAAGCAAGACCAGTCAGAAATAAAAATATCACTTCCTTCAATGCCCTCTCTTTATATAACCTCATTCTTGTTCCATGCATGTGAAGAAATTCAGAGAGTTGGTGGGCATGTTCTGGATAAACCAATTCTACAAAATTTTTCTTCAAGACTGTTGGATAAGGTATGTTAGTGTCCTTTTCTGTAGTTGTAGTTAAGCTACTACCAATATAATGTAGCAGAAATTTTTGGAATGATGGACAATGAGTATGGTGACCAAAAGCCATTTTAGATCCTTTGAGCTTGAAAGTTAATTTAGCATTACTTAGTATGTTGGCGACTTGGTGCCATGAACTGGAAACAGTATGATTATCATTTGTGTGTGTTGCGTGTATGTATATATGTATATATGCTTGTACACATTCATCACATATATACCGACATATAGATACATACATATGCATATGTGTGCATGTGTGCATAGTGTGTGTCTAATATAGCTCCTGATTTAGCTTTGACAAGTTCCCAAGTACTCCCTCCGTCGTGCTGGAAGGTTCCCGTGGGTATATGGCACGATTTTTTAGACAAGTGGTTAAATAAAGTAATTTGGGTAAAAAAGAGAGGAAAGAGAAAATTTAGAAAAAGTAAATGCATAAAGTGAAAGTAATTAAAGGGAGATAAGTTGGGGGAGGAAAAATTGTGAGACTTGACATGTAATGAGTAGGAAAGAGAAATTTGAGTAAAAGTGTTATTAAAGAGAGTACATTATTTTCTAAAATGGAATGAGAACCTTTAAATGGGACACCCAAATAAGGAAAGTGGAAACCTTTCAACTAGACGGAGGGAGTATTATTTAAAATGCATATCTATCTCTGGCCCAGATCATGAATATTCATAGGTGTACCCTTTGAGACTCTTTATACTTAATAATGATCCGGGTGTTCATTGGACTTTTTTTTTAAGCTCTCTTATGGATCTGGGTTTCTTTAAATTCTTTGTAGTATCTAATACTCCCTCTGTATTCTATTGTTTGCTACAATATGGTTTGACACAGTATTCAATGAATACATTGAATAGTGTAGTAAAAGTAGGGGAGATGGTGAAAAAGTATGGAAGGGAATATGAAAAGTAGAAAAAGTAAGGGTAATTGAGTATTTTTAAGGGGAAACTTAAGAGAAAGTGTAGCAAACAAAAAATACTTCCCAAAAAGGAAAGTGTATCAAACAAAAGAATATGAAGGGAGTATTAGTTATGCAATTTAAATTTGATATCCATTTGTGACCCAACATCTCATTTTTTCATAGGTGTATTGAAGTGGCGAGACCCACCATGTTTCTTGTAATTATTCATGTGTGCGCTCTACTTAAAATGCTCAAGCTCAATTTTGGATTTGTCTTAAGTTAAATTTCAGTGTAGGATCGGCTTAACTTGAGTATTTCAAGCCGATCCCTAAGTACATTTTTCTCAGAAAATTATTTATCTTGTTCGCTTTGTTATGACTTTGATAGCTTCTTGTTTTATTATGATCATTGCATGTGAGTTAGATAATTGATATTTATGGAGACTTCCTTTCAATTGAAGAATCCCATGGTTCTACAGTCTCAGAGAAAGGAGCTTTGCAAATCCTGTTGGATATGAAAATTGTTGCTGATATTCTGTCTGGAGGTGATATTATTGCAAAAAAGGAATCACTGGAAGTTCCAAAGGCGAAGTTGTCTTCTAGGCGCAAGCAAGATCAGCTACAGACCAATTCATTGTCTAGGGAGCGTGTAAATTTGCTGATTAATCGCGTTTCCAAAATTCTGGATCCTATTGACTGGCTCACGTAAGCGTTACTTCTAACAAGACTTGATACTTGATAGTATCACACTCTTATGACATAATGTCCTATACTTAACATTTAAATTCTCATTATTAGTTTAAGATATTTTTTGGGTCACCTGAGCCCTTGAGTTTTTTTTAGTGGGAGTCGTGCTAAAAGATTTGATGATTTTTTACAGTTGTGATATAATAATGGTTTATCTGTTTATTTTCAATAAAAAATCTGAAGAGGATAAGGTCGTAGATCAACAATGACATAGATTGAGGGTGTAAACAGCCAAACAGGTGCAATTGGGAGTTGGGGCTTTATGAGAGAGAATAGTGTGGAATGTTAACATATTCGTACATTATCTCCGATAAATATCTGAAGGCTCTTTAGCCAATCCAAGTGATTTGGGATTACAGCTTAATTGTTGTTGTTGTTGTTGTCACCAAGGTAGTCAAAGTCGTGAGGCGCACGTGAAGCGCTAGGGGCCTTCTAGCGCCTGAGGCGCAAGGCGCAAAAAAGCGCACGCCTCACTCGGGTGAAGCGCATTACCTATATAAAATTACATATAATATTTTGTAATTACCAAATATGATGTATGTAACATCATATTGAACCAAATGCATAAAAAAGCTAGGATTCAGCAAAATAAAGTCATGATTCACAAAAATAAAAGTCCAAATTCAGAATTCATGGCTTAAAACTAAAACTAAAACTAACAGACACTTGTGAAGGACTAATCGTCATTAAAAGAGGAGTCGGTTTGTTCGCCATTATCTGATTTATACTCCCCACCGTCCTCTTCAATTTCTCCCTCACTTTCCTCACCCACAGAACTTGTTCCACCTTCCATATCCTAGAAAAGCACAAAGCAGTGAACATATATTAAAAAAATCACAAAGCAGAGAGTACTATGAATATTATATGCATGCTATTGATGTTAATATACAAAAAAATCACAAAGCAGAATAATATATACAGTGAGTTTGAAGCACTGCTTTGCTGCATTCTTGCATTAGCAAAAAGTGTTTTTTGATTGTTAAACACTTTGTGTTTTTCTGTCAAACGGTTATTTTTGAAGCAAAAGTGCTTATCTAGAATATAAGTCTATGAGTATTATATACATACTATTGATAGTAATATACAAAAAAAACACAGAGTACTATGAGTATTATATACATGGTAATATACTAAAAGTCTAAAACAACACAAAGCAGAGTACCATGAGTATTATATACAAAGTAATATACTAAAAAATCCCAAAGCAGGGTACTATGAGACTTTGAGTATTATATACGTACTAATATACTAAAAATTCACAAACCAGAGTACATATATTTAAGTACTGAGTATTACATTTAAGTACTGAGTATTACATACTAATATTACATATTTACACTAATAAACACTAACATACTGTAATATGATATTTGTATAAAGAGGACTACATGATAAAAAGAACATACCTTGTTTAGCTCCAGGGAGAGCTGAGTATGCTTCAGATGATGAAGGAAGCTGAAAGAACTGGCTGATGTAGAGCTTAGTGTCGAGTGAGGAAAGCCAGGAGAGTGAAGAGCGAGGATGGTGAGCGATGATAGCTGAAGTGTCTTGCGCCAGTTTTACCTTTTTACTCTTAGTTTCACGTAGTTTTAAGTGGGTTTACCCTATTTTTTCATGGGCTGAGTGCTATTAAACATATGGGCTAATTGCTTTTCAAAGTTCTAAACATAAAAAAGGCTGTAAGCCTTTTCCGTCTCAGGCGACTAAAGCGTGCGCCTTATAGCGCTTCAGCGCTTCCTGCGCTTTTACTGCGCTTGAGGCAGGAAGCTGCGCTTCTACGATTCTAAGGCGCTGGGGGTGATTCTCGCTGCGCCTTGTGCGCCTAGGCGCTGAAGCGCGCGCTTTTGACTACCTTGGTTGTCACTATACAACACTTGATGAAAACTTTCCCATTAGCTTGGCATATTTTGAAGATTTATCCCCAAGGAAAATGAGTGCCACCGTATAGTTTGTACTATTATATCTGTCGACAAGAATGAAGTTCAGATATTTAGTACTACGGTACTAGTGTACTACCTCCGTCCCGGCTTAAGGTTCCGATTGAAAAATGGCATAGTTATTTACACAGTAATTACATAAGGTAATCGAAGTATATTTTGAAAAAAAGTGTTGATGGGTATATAATATGGTCATTGATGATAATTGTGATGTTATAAATGTATTATTTATAATATTTGCTGATGAAATTTTCATTTGAGAGTGCTAATTATTTCCTAAGATAGAAATGGGAACCTTTAAATGGGGCATCCACAAAAGGCAAGTAAAAACCTTAAGCTGGGATGAAGGGAGTATTTAAATTTATTTCAGCTGTAGTATTGCACACTCCCAATGAAAATAACAGCCTTTTCCCCTCTTCTTCATACATTCATACTCTTTTTGTGATTCATTTCAGATATGAGCCATACCTTTGGGAGAATGAGAGGCAGTCATACTTAAGGCATGCTGTGCTCTTTGGGTTCTTTGTGCAACTTAATCGCATGTACACTGACACTGTGCAAAAACTGCCAACTAATTCTGAGTCAAATGTTATGAGATGTTCTGTGGTGCCTCGATTCAAGTATCTTCCTATCAGGTTGATATCGCTATCCACCTAAATCATTTTTCTGATGGCACAGTGTACTAGTGTAGTATAACTTCATGCTATAGTTTCATTCTAACTGGCTGATTTGCTATTGTGTACAAATCCCGAGACTGAATTTATAAATTTATATTGGTTCCAGTGCTCCAGCCCTCTCTTCAAAGGGAACAAGCACGGCTTCTATATCAACATCAATGGATCATGTATCATCTAGAAGTTCCTGGAAAAGTTACTCAAATGATGAGTTATCTCTCAAAGTAGATGGTGATGATAATTCAGGTTTAGGAATGGCTGCACCACTTTTGAAGTCTTTCATGCAGGTACACTCTCCATTTTTGTTGCTCTCTCTCTCTTTCTCTCTTAATTCAAAGCACTATTTGGGACTTATTTGTTACCACATCTACGAATTAGGTTGAATTAATTGCAAAGAGTTAATTAAAGACCATGGTCACTGAATCCCAAATAACATACGAGTGCTATTATGCTATCTTTGATCCTATGATACAATATATCATAGCATTAGTGTATTATCTAGGTTCAGTGACCATGGCTTCAAGAATTTTTAGAATAGGATTAGTGCCTGATTAATTGAAAGAACACTGATATAAGACCTAGTGTTAACAGTTAAAAGACATGATAATATTATAGTGGCATAAAAAATATAGCAGCACCACTGTGTAATTGATATGAGCGTGTGCCTGCTTAGGTGAAGAGAAAGGGCTGAATAAAGTCTTATAATTATTAGTATCATTATTATTAGCATATAGCTTATATTTCCTTTTTATGATTTGGGCTCTTGTAAGAACATTCTAGGATGCTCTCCGTGCTTTCTCCCTAGATCTGTCCCTACCATGCTTATAACAGTAAAGCAACAAGTAACAATTACAGTAACCCATATAGCTGGCGAGCAACCATTTTAACGACATTGTTAGTGTCATCGGACCACACATTGTTGGTGTCATCGGACCTATATTTAGTTGTCCGTAAATGAAGTGAAGAGATGAGCTTTATTGTAATTAAAGGTCTAATTAAGGACACAGTTGCTTTTAGCTCCCCTTTCCCTAACCAAACAAATCCTTTTAGCCAGTGTTAGGACTTGGGAGCAGTAGCAAGTTGTTTCAATGAAAAGCTGAGATGTCTACGGAAGCCCTCCACTTGAGATTTCCTGTTTTAAACAGGCAGTATATATGGATAGTATACTCTGATGCTTTACTTATCCTATGAACAAAATTGATATTTGGCCTTGACTCTCTTAGGTTGGCAGCAGATTTGGTGAGAGCACGTTGAGATTGGGATCAATTTTAACTGATGGTCAAGGCAGATTTGGGGACATATTACCTGTGCAAGCTGCAGGGCTTCTTTCGTCATTTACAGTTGCCAGATCAGATTCTTAGATCAGTATGACCTTCCAGATTCTCCAGTATAAAGATGTGGTTTCACAACAGGTGGAAAACATGGTTATTTGCTGTATGTAGTAAGCTGAGCTTATGCTTTTAAGTTAGGGTTATTCCACAATTGAACATTTTTTCCTTTATATTACTAAGTAATGATTTATTTAATCTCCTCTAAAGAATATATATATATTTCTTAAAGGCAGTACGGCATTGACCTGATCTCATCCTGAACTCTGGGATTCGGCTTTGTGGTCACTTCCCTTGGTGCTGTGATGTATGTAGCTCGAAGCCTCGAACCCTTGAGGTGTGTATAGAGAAAGAGAGAGTGAAGTAATACAAGTGTGAAAAACATCAAGTGCAAATATTTATGGCCTTGTTTATTTTATTAATTTTGAAAAGTAGATTATCGACAATTTGCAGTTAACTTTTGTATAATTGATTTTGATTGATGAATTTAGATACGAAGATTCCTAGTGAAATGGTGTGATGATTCATAAAAAGTTACTTTAAAAAGTGAGTTTAGGCAGCTTGCTAGTAACCACGCTTTTCAAGTTGCAAAATACTACATTAAACATCTTTTGACTCACCTCTCTACCAAACATAAATGAATGATGTAAAGGCAAGCGCAATGCATATTCACTTTATAGTTTAGTATCACGATTGTATTTTGGTAGTTAATATAGCGGTCACGTAATAAGGTGTTCGTCCACTAATTATATTTTAATCGTATGAGTGGTGCTTGGAAGTTGGAAGAAGGTTTGGTTGTTATTGTTCTGGTACTTGGAAGAAACTAGGAAGTGTTATTAATGTATGAGTGATGCTTGGAAGTTGGAAGAAACTAAATTTGAGTATATGATTTCGTTTCAGTGCCTCCGCTAACGTTCAATATTAATGACTTCCTGAGTTCTCTTTATTGTCGTTAATTATTGATCGGCAAGAAATCGATTATATCAATTGATCTTGAAAAAACTTCCCCCCGATAGGCTTAGCCTAGTTCTCTTTCTGGCGGTTTCGGCCGAATTTTCCACCGGTTGGCCGTTGGCAAGTCTGGTTTCAAAGCTTGTCAGGGCTTTGAGTCTTCTGTCATCGCGAGGCTTTTTATTCTCAATCAAGGCTTTACGGGTCTTGTTGTTTTCGCTCTTTTGGGTCGTTGTTTTGGTTCCAAGTCGGAGTTGAGTTGCGATGGCCAGAGTAACCTGATGCCAGAGACTTTGGCCATCGAGTCCAGGTCGGAGCGCGAAGGGAGGAGATCGTTGGAGGAAGGCGGCATTGTGGTCCTGTTTTGATTGTTGCATGTTCGTTTATTTCGGTCGCACGCAACAGGGATGAGTTTGGTTGAAACAGATCTGGATTCGATGTCATCTGTGTTAGGTGGCGACAAAGGAGGCTTGGTAGAGATCCTGATGAATAAGAGACAACGTGAGGAAGAAGCTTTGGTATGGTTGGATCGTCCCCCTCGGCCCCTCTTGAACCGCCGCCATGGAGCGCAGGAGAGTCTAGGGTTTGGAAGCATCTTTTTATTTTTACCGTTTGCTTGCGTTATATTTTTTATGATCAGACTGTTTATTTTTCCGTTGCTTACTTTTATTATTGTAAGACTCTTGCATTAGGATTGAGTGAGGTTTGGTCTGCTTCAATCGTCTGTGGCTCAGGTTTGCCCATTAATGAATCAACGAGTTATATTGCTTGTTTGAAAGTGATTAACTCCGAGTCTGGTTTGCGGCTGACGGTTGTATGTGGTTCCTTACTTTTTTTACTCCCTGATAAGTCCGTATTTAGACACGCATTTGATGTGTGTTGGGATTGGATTTTGATGGTTTTCCCAGCTTTAAGGTGTTGCAAGTCTCAATTTTAGCTCAAGTTATGTTTACCGGGCGTTGGTTCGAGTTTTGTGTTGTTTGTAGTCAAAATCAGGGAATTTGAGCCCGGTACCGGCACTTGAGGAACAATCAAGATGATTTGAGAAGCATTTGAGAATGATCTGATAGCTTTGGAGGTCACTCCCTTTCTGAATGCTAATGCTTTGATATCAATTTAAGCCACCCTCTTCCAAAAAAAAGTTGCAAAATACTACTCGGTCTCAATGGACTTTGCCAACTCCGAATTAGTTTAGAAACAAGAAAATTAAAAGTTGTGTGCTTGAGATTTGTGCAGAGCATAGATAAATGACCAGAATCACAAGTCAATATTCTAATTGGAAAGTGACAAATTTTTTTAGACAATAAAAAAATTGACAAAGTTTAATGGCACAATTGGGACAAAGGGAGTATAAAAAAGAACATAACAGGGAAAGTGAAGTGTAAATTGACAACAGGGTAGGAGAGGATTAAAGCTTAAAAAATACTACCTCCGTCCCGGTGAACTTTGTCAAGTGCTTAGTAGGTGAGAAATAAGAATAGTAAAAACTGTGTGGTTGAGATTTGTACAGAGGTGAGAGAAATGTGCAGAACCACAAATTAATTGCTTTAGTAGGAAAGTGGCAAAGTTTTTTTGGACAACCACAAAGGGAAAGTCGGCAAAGTCCAATGGGACGGAGGGAGTATATAATAGGCTGAATTTTGAAATTGTAAAATGGGACCAACATGTCATGATACTTTATACGAGTATCATCTCTAAATAATTGATACTCCTCCGTCCCAAAATTAACTTCTCAGTTTGACTTCACTCAGATTAAGAAAATAAATTTGACTTTACTGTGGAGTGCACAGTTTTGCACGGTTTAAACACTGTTTGACACTGTTTGGACACTGTTTGACACTGTTTGGCACTTTTTTGATGTAGATTATTTGCCAAATAAGGAAAGTTTTGAAGTATGAAGTTAATTTCGGGACTGCCCGAAAAGGAAAATGAGAAGTTAATTTTGGGACGGAGGGAGTATGATCTAAATAAATAGAAATCTATTAAAAGTGAAAGAAACAAGATACAAATGTTGGGTACCATTGTACCAAGCCAATACCTTCGATATTTCGACCACCACCAACCACGGATGGCAAAGGCCAAATATTTGAAACATCACACATCTAAACAAAAATAATGAAAAGAAGAAGATGCATTTCATTCTCAAGAACCGTTCTAAATTTACCGGGACAGTCTAATGAGATAGAAGGTTAATATGAGCTATAGTTAGTAGTTACAATTTGGTTGATAGAGTGTGGCCCTGTATAATGTATGTGATACTTAGAGTTATAGGGATTTTCGTTGGGCAGAGTTACCATAACTTGGTTATCACTCATCAGGATTACTCTATTGATTCATAGGAAACGATTTAAAAAAAAACTTGTAGTTTTTTTTTTTGGAAACCATTTTAGTTTTTTTAATGATGCAAGGGTTGTAGACTTGTAGTATATATAAAAGCTTTAAACCTTCGGAATTAAAACGGTGAATTTACATCTTATTATTCAGAGGACCACAACCAAAGCTTTCAACAATGGGAATCTCTTGGAGCCACCACCATCTATCGGCGGACACCTGAATTTTTGTTAGGAGGGGCGACGGTGCAAAAATTCATACATACACACACATATATTAAAAATACTAGGAAAAAAAAATGGGGGTGGGGGATTTGGCCCCTTTGGTTCGCCACCGGTCCACTGCTAAAGAGCTCAGACCCATTATATACTGTAATTGGTTTTTATGGGTCTTTTAAGGGAGGATATTAAATATAGGGATAATTTGAATTTGCACCTATTTTATTGTCCAAATTGGACTTTGCACCCCGTTTTTAAAAATCTTTATTTTTGCACCCCAACCCTGTATGAAAAGACAAAAATGTCCTTTCATTAACAATTTTGTTAGCCTTCAACATATTCCTGATCAAGGGGCATTCTTGTTTTTTCATAAGGGTTGAGGTGCAAAAACAAAGATTTTTTAAAACGAGGTGCAAACTCCAATTTGGGTTGAGGTGAAAGTACCCCTTAAATATATGTTTCAAATAGCATACTTATTTGTAAGGGAACTAATTAATGAAGTATCCCTATCCTCTGGCCTCTATAGAGCTACTTTTTTTTTTTTGTTTCAGGACCATCCCACTTAAAAAGTTTTAACTTTTTCCATAATTTTATTTACACAAGTTGTATTTTGGGGATGAAACGTATTTAATCGTGTTTTCACTTTGGTCTATGTTTTTATTTCTACTTTGAGCAAAAGCGGTTATGTTAGAATGTTTATTTTACCTTGGAAAAACTAAAGATGAACTAAAAAGAATTTGCTTAAAACTTTTCGTACTCAATTCCCGGTTTCCTCTGAAATTAACACCTTGGCGATTAAGTAATTGGAGATAACATAGATGCGCAGCGTATTCCATGTACTTATTACTACGTAGTACTCCGTATATGATTTGTACTCCGTATATTCAATTCTTTTATTATCATATGAATGTTTTTATGAAAACTCCCAGTAAAACATACGGAGTACTAAAATGGGACCAACATGTTATGTTTTTAGTCGGTCGGTTCTGATCGGTTTCGGTTTTTAGTCGGTCGGTTTTAGCGACTTTAAAACTAGATGAAACCGAGAATCCGACCGCAAAAATTGAGTCAATTTTGGTCAATTCGTATCGTTTTCTATCGATTTTAGCCATTTTTGCCGGTTTATTTTTGTTTGACCGGTTTTTTTAAGCCAAAAGTACGAACCGTAAACCAAATAACCGATGAATTAGTCACTTTCGGTCAGTTTCGATTTTATCGGTTCGGTTTTGATCGGTTTCGGTTTTGGTCGGTCGGTTTGGCGGTCGGTTTCGGTTTCAGTTTTTTTGTTCACCCCTATTATATACTACGTATATACACTGTATTTCATTTCCATTTCATGGATACAAAATGAGATGATGACATTAGAATGGTTGCTTTTCGTAGCTAGTGCGCTTCATGTGGTAGTACTACTGTACTACTAGTACTAGGCATTTTTTTTCCAAGTACATACTGACTACTGAGCATATGTATCCGGAGTACATACATATAATAATCACTTAATATATTGATATATACTCCCTTTAATTACCAATTATCGCAAAATCATATTCCAAATTAAAGTATACTTCGTATTTGACACGAGAATTAAGATATCAAGTACTACGTATTACATAATGTTTTGAAGAGCTCAAGAGCATAGAAAAATATGTAAGAAAGAATATGAATCATAATTTCTTTACCGAAGAAAAAGTTTATCTCTATCAAACTGTCTACGTTCCCTCTCACAGCCCACCCCACTCCAAACACCAGAAGAAAAGGTCATAACAATACTAATACCAGTATCCCTATGAGTAATATCCACAAGGCCCACAACAACAATTGTATAATTGACCCCAAGCTATATATAGCCACCTAGCTAGTTTAAATCTTGTGGAGTATTTATTAATTAATCACTTTGTAATAGAACAGACGTTGATTAATTTGGACTCTGTTTTTGGTTTATCAGCCAACATTTTTATCAAACACGTAATTTTTGATTTCACGCGTCGAATTGTATGTGTAATGATAAGAAAATGTAAGATTGTAGCTAGTTTTTTGACTGTATTGGCTGAAGTTACTGTAGATGATTCTTT